TCTGATTACGATGAAACTTTGGTAGGTTGTTATGGCCATCCCAAGGAAGGTTTGTGGATAGGTTACACATCTCGGAAAAAGAAAATAATTTTGAATTAATTATTAATTTAATTGTAAACAAACTCATTCACATTACATAACAACATAACCCAACTTTTTTTGACAGCATGAAACAACGTTGCCATATTTCATTTATTTAGGCTTGCATTCAACCGACGTAACTTTATTATTTTTTGAATTCAATAACGGCTGGACCGATCTTGAATTAATACCACGTATCTATATATAAGGTGAATTCGATTGACCCAGATTAGATCGATTTGGGTTCAATTTAAGTGAACTTCTTCTGATCTAGATCATTTTTTTGTTGATGAGGATGAGGGTGCACTGATCCAGCTTGAATCGAACACAGTGTGGTTCACTTAAATTGAACCAGATCGATCTAATCCGGTCAATCGAATCCGCTATAGAGGAGAGTGATATAGGCTATTTTTTATCCCGAAAAAAAAGTTCGGTTGCGTAAAACTCTGATATACTGGAACGCCTATAAACAGCCCGAGGCGCTCTACAGCAGCTATGGAGTGCGTTCAAGGACGGCGATGCTAATGCCAAAACCTACTTTTCCCCCTCCACTGGTGATGCCAAACCAAGTGTCTAATTTGCTGGAACGCGAAATACCGTTTCTCATGCCACTAAAATTTGAATTTGCCGGTTTGCCGCGCAAATTAACCTATAAATTTCTCCATTGTTTGTTTGTTTTCAAATTTTCAATTTTCTAAAAAAAAACTTTAATTTTCTTAAAAAAACTTTAATTTAATATTTCCAGATTTGCAGGTCTAGTATTTTCTCTTGTATATTGGCAGATGGCAGAGGATCCAAATGCAGCAATAATGCTGCATTCATTATTGAAAATTAGAAAAAACTCATTGCTATTAATGTTGCAAGTAAGAATACAATGATTAGGTACCTACACTCTACACATTATTTGATTAGATCCCTTAGCTCAAACCTGAACACTATTGAATTATCAATACTCCACACTCCACGTTTCAATTACATAAGCACAATGAGAAGCATTTTTTACTAGGTAAAACAGCATACCTTTACCTAAGTAGTAACAATTAGATTTTTCAATATTTTTGACTGGCTCTATAAATAAAGGGGGCCTATTTGGCAGTGCCTGGTCGACCTATATTTATATATTATCCGTTCACAATCCGATGTCCACAGGTAGGTACAGGTAAAATCACCTTTCAATGTTATTTGATAGGGAAAGGTGATAAATTTACCTGCACCTGTGGACATCGGATTGTGAACAGGATATATATTTAGGTATTATCAGCATAAAATTATTCTATTTTAGCTTTGTGATAATTCTGAGTCTGATGAAGATGAAGAAGAGGAAGAGGAAGAGGAATTGTTGCTGCAGCTTTGTGAGAAGGAGCAAATTCCTATAAGAATTCAAGGATTTTTAGAACAAGTTGCTGCAAAGTACAATGACCTTGAGTTTAGAGAGAATTTCCGGCTCAGTAGACATGCTTTCCACATTATTTTTAATAAAATGTGTCAGCTTTATGGAGGAAACGAACCATCCCAAATAGAAAGGGCTCTATTAGCTGTAATTTGGTTATTAGCTACCCCAGATAGCTTCAGGTAATTCAGATTATTAATGAAGTGGTGTTATGTCATTTAAAATAATGTTATTTTGTTTTTAAAAAGTTGCTCTACTTTCATGTTACATTATAACTATATATTTTACTAGGTTGAGTGTCCTAACTTGGAGTCTCATTAAGTCTCAATACTCCCAATCCTGCTCCAATAATATCTATATTATAAATTTCCATTTCTTTATTCCATTGAAAAAAATTCTTCTTATCAGAATTGTGGCGCTTACCAATTGCTTACTCTATTTTTTAATTTTAGATCAGTTGGAGGTAGACTGAATATGGCCAAATCATCATTGAGTCGTGACTTTCTTAGAATCATTAATGGATTGAACCGGATTGCATCCTTTTTTATTAAGTGGCCTTTGGCCCAAGAAATGGAGCAGAGCAAAGAATATTTTGGCAGAAGATATGGAGAAGGTTTTGAGCGGGTAATTGGAGCAATAGATGGCACCTATGTTCCAATGAAAGTGCCAGCTGCCCAGCAGCAAGTTTATACCAATAGGAAAAGATTTACAGGCATGACTCTGCAAGTAGTTTGCAATGAAAAGATGGCATTCACAAATTGTTTCACTGGATTTCCTAGCTCAGTTAGCGACATACGTGTACTTCGAAATTCACCTCTTTATTTAAGAGCACAAGAAGAACCTCAGGAATTTTTTCCTAATGGAGAGGTGATTTTGGGTGATAAGGCATACCCGCAAATGTTATGGTTACAAGTGCCTTTTATAAATCGGGGAAATTTGAATGAAAACCAGATAGAATTTAATAGAACACACTCAAGCGCACGATCGGTAGTAGAGAGGAGTTTTGCCCATTTTTTTGGACGCTGGAGAAGGTTAAGGGATTTAGATATGAACAGATTAGATTGGGTACCTGGAACAATATTGGCTGCATGTGTTTTACACAACATATGCATTTTATGCAATGACAATATTGAGCAATATATTGAAGAGGGGTTACCAATGGCCAGACAAAATGCAATTCATCTACCTGATCTGTGATTGTTCTTCTGATATATTTTGTGATAATGTACATAGAATTATCAATGAAATGTAAATCATATACATATATAAAAATAAATATATAAATTACCTGAATTTGTAATTTTTCTATTGTTAAAAATGTAAATTAACTGAGTGAGTATGCAGAAATAAGACCAAAATGATATTGCAGATACCCATGCATAAGATGAAAAGCATTCGATTTCAATTTCAATATACTTTTCTCAATATGTAATTTTAAATTAATTTGAAGATGTATTTTCAATTTACTTTTTATTTTATTTACAGCTACTGTCCCTAGGGAATGATATACATATATTCATGAGCCTTTTTGATTAATGCGAATATGGGCCTATTAAAAAATAGTAATTATTTTAATTTAATCCATAGGTACAAAAAAAACACACTTAATTTTATCTTTTTATTATAATATAATATTAATCAAAAAATAAGATACAATAACTATTTGGCCACTGATCACAGATCAACCCTCAAATATGTACCTATACGAAATAAACTGTATACTTATATAAACTAAATTCAATACGGGTTATCAGTATCACTCAAGTTGGAACATAGGAACAAAAAAAAACTCTTTCTTTAATTGATTATAAGTACAGGGTGTCCAATTTAAGATTGTATTGGGGGTTATCTTTGAGCCCCTGTTGCCCATGGTAGGTAGAAAAAAACTGATTGCGGATTCCTGTCTTACCTTTTTAGAGTGAATTTACTGCCGCAAACCGTTTTTTGATAGCTCGCCTCGTTTTAGAAATACAGGGTGAAATAGCTTTTTTTTTGTGTTTTCTCCATCCTTGACTTCACTTTCAACAACGAATGATAGAAAAAAAAGTGAAAAATACATAAAGTTTTTCACATAAAATCCATTGGCGTATGAAAAATTTGTTGTTTAAATTTTTTCAAGTTTCAACACAAACTTGCTTTTTTTTCAATGGGACACTCTGCATTTCATTATCCTAATCATTAGGGATTTTTTCTGCTAACGATATATGTATAACATGAAACCTACATGTTATATACATATATCGTTAGCCCCTATTAATTAAAATAATAAAATACATGTGTCCCATTAAAAAAAAAAGTTTGTGTTAGAACTTGGAAAAAAATTCAAAAAGTTCTCATACGCCAATGGATTCTACGCGAAAAACTCTATCTAGGGCACAACATTGTTTTTCGTAAACAAGACGAGCTATTAAAAAACGGTTTGCAGCAGTGGATTCACACTAAACAAGTAGGGAATCTGCACCAAGTTTTTTTCTGCCTACCATCGGCTCAAAGATAACCCTCAATACTATCTTAAATGAGACACGCTGTACAGGGTGTCCGAATTTGGATGGTTTTAATAGGAAACGTCAATTTCTGAGCGAGATACAAAAAAATGAACCCCCCACTCCGAAGCTCAAATTTCTTGAAATTTTGATTGGTGCAAACCGCATTTTGATATCTTCAACCGTTTAGCCGCTAGAGGGCGATTCTCGATTTTGAGCAATACTGTGAAATCTTCATAACTTTTTTGTTTATGAAAATAACTGATTTCCGTAAAAACTTCCTAGAAGCACTTTTTCAAGCAGAATTCAATGACGTTTTCAGTTTTTTTCTATTCGGCCTCGATTTCAAGATATTGACCAAAATACGATTTTTTTCAATGGGACACCCTATATATTAATAGTTCATTAGAAAGCTCTGCTTTTGCTGATTTCAATGATACAAATTTCGATAGGTTTATCTCTAACAGTTTTCGAGAAAAAAAATATTTCGGCTTTTGTCATAAGAAACAATGAGTTAGAAAGAGACCTTACTCAGTTTCCTTACAGATATAAAGTCCTTTTCTTACACATTGCTTCTTATGACAAAACCGAAATAATTTTTTTTCTCGAAAACTATAAGAGAGATAAACCTATCGAACTTTTATCATTGAAATCAGAAAAAGCCGAGCTTTCTAATGAGCTATTAATATATAGAGTGTCCTATTGAAAAAAAACCAGACTTTGGTCAATATCTCGGAGTTGGGACCAACTAGAAAAAAACTGAGAACGTGAAATCAATAATTTTCATAAACAAAAAAGTTATGATGGTTTCACATTATTGCTCAAAATCGAGAATCGCCCTCTAGCGGCTAAACGGTTGAAGATATCAAAATGCGGTTTGCACCAATCAAAATTTCAAGAAATTTGAGCCTCGGAGTGGGGGGTTCATTTTTTCGTATCTTGCTCAGAAATTGATGTTTCCTATTAAAACCATCCAAATTTGGACACCCTGTACATACATACATTCATTTGATGATAAATAATAAAACTATTTTTTCTCAGCAAACTTTTCCAACACTTTTTCAAAAAGGTCATTCCCTCTACGGAGCTCATTCAATATCTCTCGTCGCTCGATGCTTCTTTCTTCATTCCTTTCATGTTGTCGATTTGCCCGCTCCTGCCTCATTTTATCGATGTTTTCTATAATTTTTTCAGTGTTACTTTTTTTTGAATGTTTTGGAATTACGCTGGTGCTACTTGTCGGTTTTGCAGCTAATGGTGTGAATGTTAGAGAACTTGCAGTTGCCACTGGTTCCACATTATGGTTTTTAGCAAAAATTGCGTCGAATTCCTCCAACCACTGGAAATCCATAGGAGCTACACCAGTTTGTAAATTATTGTCTTTCACTTTCATGTACTGCTGCTTTAATTTGCTGAATTTTGTTTTTATTTGCTCTGAAGTAAAATGAAAACCGTCTCCAGCCATCTTTTCGTGGATCTTTTTCCACACTTCCTCTGCTCTTATGGAAGTGCTTGAAAATTGAGGTTTGTGTTCTCCATAATGGAAAAGGAGATTTTTCACGGGTGCACTTAACCATTTCTTTTCTGAAAGAGAAATATAACTAAAAAACCTGCATTTGCATTGTTAAAAATTGTGTGACAATCTGCTATTTGGACTGAAAAAAAAACAAATTACAATGTATTTTGTTCGGCAGAAAAAAATATCCATATTTGTAATGCTGATTTGCTTGATACTTGAGTGAGTAAAACAAATATCTGCTTGTATCTGCTGTAAATTTAGTTTTTCCAATCATTTTCATTCAGCCCCATATCAAACCCATGCAGTTATATTTGCCTTTACCTTCTCATACATATTAAGTCTAGTTTTTTAAGAAAATATCCATATTAATTACAGGTATTTCATTCAAAACTACCTCAATCATTCAAAAATATCAAATGTCTTTGATTTTTTCTCAATAATCTTATTTAATGCACTTAATTTTCAACTTGACAAAATGAAATGTTAAGATGTTTTGATATCTTACTTGTTGAAGTAGGTGTTGTGAGTGGAGATATCTTTGGTAATCCATTTGATGGACTTCCACTGCAATTATTTTCTTTTTCCGGTGTATCCGTGGCCCTCGCCGTGGCCTGACCTGTCCCAAGGAGATTCAACTTCAAAAATGTATCTTCTGCAACAGGATGATTAATCCGTCCTTCATATCGAAAGCCGATATAGGCACTTCATAGTCAGAACTATCATCTAAAAAATAATAATGATGAATTAACGAATACTTGATGGCAGATCTAACCTTCTGCTCTCAGGATATAGCAATCCCGTTCCACTTTAATCAGTCTTACATTGATAAAAACCACCATTTTTTTCTGTGAGAAAATCTAACGCAAATGCTTACTGCTCACTGCTCAGCTCCGCACAAACCAAAGACACAAACCATATGCATGTGTCCATACACAAACAAACAAAACGCAGCAGCACAGCTGATTATTTATTTGACTTTCGCGACAGCGCCAAAAGTGACAGACCCCGTTATCCAATCAAAATTCGTATAACCATTTCTAGACTCAGTTGAAAGAGCCTCCAAAAGTTACTTTACCGCGGCCGATTTGGAACGTGTAAAGCCAACCGTTTTTGGCACGCTGGAGCCGAACTTGAACGCAATATGCCATTTTTGGCTTGGCTTTAGCCGTTTTTGAACGCAGCCCTGGAGTGCTTAAAATGCGTCACTGAACTCACTGGCAAGCGACTATGATATCGGATTTAAAAAAAAAATTAAATAGAAAATCAACAACAAAATTTGAAAAGAAGTGTATTATTTCAAAATGTATTTACATGCTGGCAACGCAGCGGGTCATTAGCTAGTTCTTAATAAAAATAGGCTTTAAATCAGCGTTTTAATAAAAACTTTGCAGCTCGCAGTAGAAACGAGATAATGGAATGAATCAAAAAACAAAATGTTTAGAATACATCAAAGATAACAAGAAACAGTATTTAAATAAAATTATCCACCTCAATTTTCCTACAGGGTGCTTTGAAGGTACGACCAAAAACAACAGTTTACTTTTCTCCTGTATAATATAGTGTAATCGAGAAATTTTACTTAATAAAACAATTAGAGATTCAACACAATAAATAGATCTACAAAGTACAAACTGGTACGAAAATCATCAAAATCGGATGGAAAATAAAAAAGTTATAAAACATCAAACTTGGTCGAAATTTCAGGGTGGCGGAATTTTGTGCCGGCGAGTGTAGTTACGCTTATGATCTCATTATTCTATAAGAACCTCTCATCGTTATCGATATTTTGACTTGGCAACATTGCGGTAAAAGCGAGAAAAACCTAACCTAGCTTTTTTGTTTGTATTAAAGTTTTTGGATTTTTCGTTTATTTGGAAGTATTTATTGTGAATAACGAGATATTTTTGGTTTTATTAGTGAAGTTCATTATATTAGCAATATTTAATAGGTTGCCCGTTCACATTTTGATAATTGAACAGATGGAACGTGAAAATCAATTAAGGCAAGTTAGTGAAGAAAATAGAAGACTTCGGGATATAAGTGATCCATTTTCATTGCCGGATGGGCATTTCATTCAACTTTTTTGTCTCAACAAGGACTTAGTTAACTATCTTTTCGAAGAACTCCGACTAAATATGGTTATCACTAGAATATCTCGTGTGAGTTACCAACAAAGAATCCCCATAGCTCTGAGATTGTATGCCACTGGGAACTACCAGATGGGCGTTGGGCAAGAGTATCTACACGCTGTTAGTCAGCCAATTGTTAGTAGATCTGTGAAACAGGTATCCAGGATTTTGGTGCTTCACTTTGCCAATTCAATTTCCTGATGCTGCAAAAAAAAAAAAACATTCAATCACGAGAAGATTTTTTGAATACTGTGGAATACCTGGAGTAGTTGGAGCTATTGTACTCATGTAAAAATTTTGGCTCCTTCCGAAGAAGAACATGCTTATTTAAATCGCAAAGGATACCATTCCATGAATGTGCAACTAATGTGTGATACAGATTTGAACATATGCAATTGAATGCAAGATTTCCAGGAAGTTGCCATGATTCATACATCTGGAGACCGTCAGCAATAAAAAATAGTTTGCAGCAGGCTTATCAGAATGGCGAACAACACACGTGGTTGCTTGGAGACTCAGGGTATCATCAAGAACCTTGCTTGATGACCTCAGTACTAGGAGCTCTACCAAATACTCCAGAAGACAGGTATAACCAAGCTCACGTAAGAGGAAGGAACCATATAGAAAGGACTAATAGGGTCTTTAAAACCAGATTCCGCTGTTTAATAGGGCCTACGGTATAGTCCAGACAAAGCAGCAAGTATTGTCAATGCCTTCTGCATTCTGCATAACATGTGTGTTAGAGCCAGAATCCTTGTTAAGAGGACATTGATGAGCATCTCAATGAAAGAGTCGACATTGATGAACCTCTACAACAGCCAGCTGCTGCAGAAGTGGGAAGAGCAGAGCAGGAAGGAATGTATTGATAAATAGATATTTCAATAATAATTAATGTGTGATGTATTAATTGCAATATATTGTCACTTTGCTTGACATTGATTTTTGTTGCTATTTTTCGTTTAATTGTACTTGCATTAGGAAATTGATTATCAACAAGGCCTATTGAAATATTAACATTTTCTATACAGGGTGACTTGGTAAGTGACGTATTCCAAGAAAACAAAAAATACTCTAAACAATATAATCTATCATTTCAGCCATTTTCTAATAAAAATTAGGAGAAAAACACGCGTGGCCTCGTAGGATATTTTCCCAATATACACGTGGCATACAATACAATGGGTTAATCCCTATTTTTAAAAACTGTATTATATTTAGGATTAGCTAATGAAAGATATATAAGTCAAATACAAAGACGCAGAATTAAAAAAAAAAGTTTGGGTTTACCTAGTTACGGTGAACTTTCAATAATTTATATTATCAGAAAAAAAAACTAAAAGCTTCAAGAGCCAAGCACATTTATTTTTCTATTCAGAGTTTAATGCAAACAAAAATGTACAAGCTTTGGTACAATTATGTCTTAGTTAGTACCTAATCCGCACCGACTGCTGTGGCCTGGGCTGGGGCAGGTCAATGAAGAGACATGGACCGCTTGAAAACACCATTTTATTTAAATTTCCAATCACTAAGCAAAGATAGCTTGCTCATTGGTATATCGACAACCTTGATGGCGAAATGAATATAACGTAAAAACGTTACTCGACCAAAATAATGTATATTAGGTTGTCAGGAACACCCTAATCATCGATACATTTTAGTTACAAATTAAACACTAAAAGCTTCTCGCAATTAATAAGTCTAATTGCCAAAAATTAAAAGCATCTAGCAATTCGCACATCTGTAAAAATATCAATAACAATTAAAATGAAGGATTTTGCTCTCGATGGTTTTCCTGCGTTTGAAATCTAAAATCTCAAATCACTTTTCGATTCCCTCTCAACCTGACAAGTCGACTCCTAAAAAACATCAAATTTACCAAAGTCTTTTATTTCTTTTTGTCAACCCTAATAAAAATATTGAAGTGTGAGAAGTGGAACTCAACAAGGTATTTGATTAAGAGTGAAGAAAAATAAACATAATTTAAACAGAACTCGAATCACTGTTTTAAGCTTTTAATGTTGAAACAAAATTCTTAATCAATGAAATAATGCATTGACTAATGTTCAGTTAACTACCAGAATCGGAATCCTATCTACTTACTCTAATACTTGTTACATTAACATTCAATTCTTGCACCTGAAAATTTGTAAATACTATTTTGTAAATTAAACCAAGTTAATAAATTAAGCTTTTTCCGTACATGTAATTAAAAGGCCCCATACGGTGCTCCAATATGCCCAAAACTGTGTTTTTTTAGTTTAGGGTAGCACTGAAAAATGTTTTTTTTATTGCTCTAAAAAGAACTAAAGATTCCATATACCTGTCAGCATACACACCCTGCGGGTTGGTCAAATTGCGGCCTAAATAATCAGGTAGGTAAAAATAATAGCCACATTGCGCCCCAAAAATAAGGGTTAGCCCTAATAAAATTTGCAGTTAATAAAATTATTACCTGTTTTGACCTAAGCAGGATGGGATTATTGCGGCCCGTAATAAATATCTACCATATCAATTGAAAATTATTAAACTTATGTTAATAACTTCTACGTAGGAATAATTTATTAGAAAATTGTCAGTTCGCCGAAATTTTCATTATAAAGCCATTGTTGATATACCCCTTTCCCGGATAAGGAGTAAATTTCGAAAAGAAACATTTATCATAATGTATTGCGTCCTTAACTTAGCAACATCAAATTCGAATAATATGGAACCAACTTTTATTGAGAGTGAAAAGGGAAAACCTTTGCTATTATTAAACGGCTTTAAATACGCTAAGAGAAAAGTGTTGAAGAAGAGTGAAGAGTTGTTTTGGTCTTGTGTGAAAAAAGACTGTACTGCTAAAGTTTTTACCATTGGAGAGGCCAATATAATATCAAGACGAGATGAATCACATAACCATGAGAGTGACTTAAAAATGCTCCACCGCCAACAAATTAGTGCTAGTGTAAAACGTAAAGCTGTCGAAAATATATCCGAGAAGCCCGCTAAGCTAATTCACAGTGCTATAGGCGAAAATAAGGATACTCTTGAGACCCTTTCAGCAAGTGACATCTATAACATCAGAAAATCAGTCTATAATGCTAGAAGAAAAATTTTTCCTCCTCTTCCTAAATCTCGCGCAGAAGTTTTCGATGTTTTGGAAAATATGCGAATAATAACCCTTAAAGGTGAAAATTTTCTTTTTTTAAGTGATAAATCCAAAGACTTTGTGATTTTTTCAACATACAGTAATATTAGGCACGTATGTACCAGTGAAAAAATTCACATGGACGGAACTTTTCGGTTTTGTACCAAGTTCTTCGTTCAGTTATTTACCATCCATGCTATATTTAATGGGCATTACATTCCATTACTTTTTTGTTTGTTGCCTGGAAAACAAGAAACAATTTATAAAATGTTGTTCACTTCAATTATTGAAAAGTGCAATGCCTTAGGATATGTTCTTAAGCCAAATGGAATAGTCATGGATTTTGAAAGAGCTATACAAAATGCTGTACGTTCATCATGGCCAGAAAGTAAATTGGAAGGTTGTAGATTCCATCTATCACAAGCATGGTTTAGGCAAATCTAAAAAACTGGACTAGTGCCAATTTATAAGGACATAAAAAACCCCAGTGAAAAGTGGTTAAAATATGTATTTAGACTTCTATTCCTGAAGGCTAATGATATGGGAGAATGTTTTGCATTTGATTTAGCGGAGGTGCAACCGA